ATATATATATATATATATATTATATTCAATATAGCTGAAGTAGCAGTATTTAATGAATAGCTGAAATGTCCCTGAATTCAAGTCCCCATGAAACCATATTGCAGCAGATATTCTGTTTCAAATACTAATGGATTAAAACCTCAAAAGTGCTGAGCCAACTGAATATTTAGCCCAAGCTTTTATAATTTTCAATTAAACGCTCCACCTTTGACCTGCTGTGACTTACCAGCTCACAAATGTACAAAATACTGTTGACCAATCTAAAAATAACTTTTCTTTTGGCTACAACCTATTAAAACTCGTTCCTGTCCATGTCATTAAATTATCTAAAAGGAAATGAAAGTATTGTTTGTATTACCTGGGGCTAAATGTAAATGTGTGAAGTTATTCTGGTACAAGTTAGCCCTTTTTGTGCTACATTTCACATAACTTGAAGCAATACATATTTTGTCCTTTTTTCCCCCTCATTCCTCATATGTACTTTCTGGTTCTGTCCTTTGTCAGTCACAAAGAAGAAAGCAGCTCTCCCTCGTGTGTTCTGTCTTACTAAGAGTCCATGAAAGAAGTAAAGAACAGCACACAAATTATCCCAGAAGTGTTTCTGGTTATCAGCATTCTGCAGTGTCTTATTATAGACAATATATACCCCAAGATTGGTAATGGTGAAAAAGACACACAATCTCTCAAAAAACCAAAATGTTGAAAGGCATAAAAATATTAAAATGTCTTAAGCTGAAAAAGTGCTGTTTGCTACACTATATGTAATTTATGTGATTTAATCTGAAATATCATTTCAGGAGTGTACACAAAGTGTAAAAACACACTACTATCCTGATTGTCCTTTATTGTGCAGATTGAGGTTGTTTCTCCAAATGCACTTCATGATCTTCAGCACATTTAAGCTCATTTATTTTTTGGCTACCTTCGACTTTTGTTCTTGTGTTTTGTTTAATGTAACTATGAACATTATTCATTCAATTTCAAAGACAAAAACTTCTAACTCAGTCAGTCAAATGGATGATTGAGAAATATTACAGAACAGCACAACTTTCAGCAGATAATGCTACACTATTAGGAGGAACAGGCTACACTACTGAACAGTGATCTGAATAGAAAAGTGGTGAATTTGTCAAAAAAAATAAGTTTAAAAAAAATTATTAAAATGTATAAGTTTTTAATTGTCACAGTTCAATTCAATTCAGTTTATTTGGATTAAATGAAGACATTTCGAAGAAGTATTTGGACACCCAGATAATAAACCATTGCAATAAATAAGTCCCAGAGGCTCAATAGGATTAACTTGTATAAATAAAAGTTGAATGAATGAAAAAATAGTCCAGTCTGGACGTGACAAATGCATGAACCAGTTTTTCTGCATCATTTTTAGATAAGATGTTTCTAATTTTAGCGATATTACGCAGGTGGAAGAAGGCAGTTCTAGTAACGTTTTTAATGTGGGGGATAAAAGACATGTCCTGATCAAAAATAACACCAATATTTTTAACATTAGAACTAGAAATCAGATTAATACCATTCAAGGAGGGTGAAAGACTGAAAAACACATTCCTAAGATGCTCAGGTCCAAAAACCAGAACCTCAGTCTTGTCTGTGTTCAAAAGGAAAAAAATTAGGACCATCCAGGTTTTTATGTCTTTAAGACATGCTTGTAGTCTAAGTAATGATTGGATTCATTGAGTTTCATGGACAAGTATAACTGTGTATCATCAGCATAACAATGTAAATGTATCCCATGCTGTTTAATAACTTTACCTAAAGTAAGCATACAGTATAAAAGGTAAAGAGTACTGTTCCAAGCACTGAACCCTGAGGAACTCCATGACTAACTTTAATGTATGAAGAAGATTCATTATTTACATTTACAAATTTGAATATATCAGATGAATATGACATAAACCAATTTAGAGCTGTTCCTGTAATTCCAATATCATATTCAAGTCTTTTTAAAAAAAATAAAAATTAAAGTCAATAATTGGCTAGGATTCCTGAGTTAAGGTTATGTTTCTTAAGTAAAGGTTTACTTTCAGCAATCTTAAAACTCTGTGGTATATAATCATTCATTAGAGACAAATTAAGCAGATCCATGAAGTGGTTATTAATTAAGGGATTATCTGGTTAGGATGGGACCTAGCAGACATGAAGCTATTAATTTTGGCAATTCAGAGACATCAACAGGACAAAAACAGTCCAAACATAGATCAGGTTCTAGTGACATATTTAAAGTTGTCTCATCTGACACGGAACCAGAGGTGGTAGTAGGAATGTTGGTTTGAATTTTTTCCCTAATTCAAATAATTTTATTTATAAAGAATTTCATGAACTCATCACTAGTTGTAGGGATATGTGAATCAACAGAGATAGAATTTTTCATTAGACTAGTTATGGTACTGCACCTGGGGTTATTTTTATTTTAATAAATTAAAGATGAATAATATAAAGTTCTAGCTTTCTGGAGCACTTTTTAATACATTAGTAGACTATCTCTCCAAGATAAGTAAAATTCTTCAACATTAGTGGAGCACCATTTTCTTTCCAGTTTTCTAGATCCTTGTTTTAAAGTATGTAACTCAGAATTGAACCAAGGAGTTAGTCTCCTCTGATTGACTACTTTCTTTTTCAGCGGAGCAGTTTTATCGAATGAAGTTTGCAAAGAAGTTGTAAATTTATCAACCATATGATCTAAGTCACTGCTCTCTGATGTATTAATCTGCAAGACAGAGGAAAACTATGGACGATCTTTAAATTTGGTTACAGCATTTTCTAATAAACACCTGCTAAGATGAAATTTACTCTAAGTGACTGTGTAGTCATTTAATGTAAACTCAAAGGTAATTAAAAATGATCAGACAGAAGAGGTGTTTCAAACACCTAAATGAAGTGTTTCAAACACCTAAATGAAGTGTTTCAAACACCTAAATGAAGTGTTTCAAACACCTAAATTTCTTATGTATCACTTTTCTGACAAATTCCATTTGAATCATTTTCCTTGTCAAGATGAACTAAATATGCGATGAATTTCATAAATATATAGGGTACAAACATGAGCATAGGTGAATATTATAGTTTTGATAGTAATTTTAATAAAGCAAAAGTATTGCTAATCCACATTTTCTCTTCACTTTCTCATATTCTGTCAAATTCAGTGTTTGCCACAGTTGTCTGCATTCATTTAAGCATAAGAAGTGCAACTACTTAAATATAGGCTAAAAAGAAGAACCTGATACAAACAAAAACATAATAAAGTCATACTGTTTATAAAAGGGCAAAGTATGGAGCTTTATGTGTAGAGAAATGCACACAACATGTGTCATTTTAGTTTTTTAGTAATCCAGAAAATATATACAGTATAAGTCCTTACTTGGTTAGAGTTCATGAGTCGGACTGCTGGGAAACTGTTTGAATTGAGTTGCTTTGACAGTAGAAGGGTTAAACTCTGATTTTCTTCTTTACTAAGACTCATACTCAGCAGTGATCAGATACCACTAATATATCAGACGGCAATTGCTTAGTCTTAGCAGGTCGTTGCAGGATGTCTGCTTGATAGACGTGTGGGGGAATTATTTCTTGACGAAGAAGGGAATCCTGTGCCACCTTGTTATTAGACCTTTAACATCAGGAGGAAAGCACTGCTGCATTGAACCACCAAGATGAGCACTGATCTGAAGGATTTTACTGCCATCACCTTGCTGCGGCCTGGCAGTTAATTATTTGGTGAATCTTTTAGTCGAATCCTTGCTCAGCAGTTTGGGGAAAATTTTAGAGATGAACTCTACACAAGCAATTTTTAGGTAGGGGGATATTCTTTACAGCAAATAAAAAAATCTCTACAATCTTTGAATGGAATATGAGACTAATAAGTCCAAGAAGGATGCAAGTTGGCACCATGTGGTGTTAATTATAGAATAAAATCTCTTTACATCAAGGTCAACTACATTAAGGTTTGAAGGAGGCCTGCACCAACTGCTTGTCTGTTGATCAGAGTTGGCTGAAGTTCAGCCTGAATGGCTTGACAAGTATCCAGCAGACCAAGCTGTGGAAACATTTATTTCAGCATGGTCAAGTAAATCCACTTTAAGACTCAAACACTTTAATGCTCCATATGTCTAACTTCTGTATGTGCAATGCAGGTTTCTTTAAGAGCTAAAATCAAGTAATTTTCAAATCTGTAGCATGTTTAAAATAATGCCAATGAAGCACTGATAGAATATTAATATAAATACAGTGCAGGTTTAAGGTTTTCTATGAAGTACTGTGTGCCTACTTGTCATATAAATTTATATATGGTAATGCTATATTCGTTATTATTTCACAATTAAATACCATTGGTGTTCAGTTATGTGATTTACAGCCAAGCCAAGCAACAAAAATATAAGCTACAGACTTCTTGTAATGCTTGTTGCTACTTAATGTACTACTTAATGTGTATACTTGTTTACTCTGCTAAACAAATACAAAGTATATAGCAAAAAAAAACCACGGTTTTCTACACAAATATGTTTTACAATGGACATCATAACAATTTGTTTTCAATTAAAGGTTTGTAAATACAAATAATAATAACAATAAGATGAGTTATTTAGAGGCACCTTTCTGACACTCGAGGACACCGAGCAAGCAACATGTACCTGTACATATAAAAACATCAAGATACTAAAATATGCATGTAAAAATCATTAAAATACTAAAAATAGGCAGCAAAAGAACAAGACAATGAGAATTATAATCAGCCTGGATAAGCGATTCTGACCAGAAGAGTTTTTAATCTGGCCTTAAAGAGGCAGAGAGGTGGTAGGAATGTGTCCAGTAAAAGTTGACAGACTGACTCAAAGGAGTCGAAAGCAGGAACAGAGGCAGAAAGCAGGGCTTTCCACTTCTCACTGAGAATTATCGAGAGACCTCCTCCGCAGTAAGAGTCATGTGGTTGACAGATTTGAACAAAGCCCGGAGGAGTTGACTCGTTAAGTTGAGAAAAGTCATTACAAAGCCAGATTCAAAGAGTAGTAAGAATAAAAAACAAGATCTAAAACTTAAAATGTGGGACTTTAAAAAGATAGAGTGAAACTGAATTTTAGATTTATTTATACAAATACATGAGTCCAGTGACTTAATCACTAAAACTTTAGATTTAACGACATCTGGATGATAGAAGCTGGAGCTCAAAATTACATTGTTGAACACGTAATGTACAGCAACAAATAACATGAGCTTCATCTTTGAGTAAATATAAAAAAAAAAGAAGCTTAAGTTAGAGATTAGAAAATCTACTTTAGTATATATGTTGTTTCAAAGTTAGAGATTTTGTTGTCTCTTGCCATTCAATGCAGCATTACAACAGTGTACAAGAGGTGAGCGACAGACCATAATCTGTCATTAAACAAAGCAATAAATCAATTAAGTAAACATAATTTACTGATTATTTCACAGTGTTTGTGTAACTACTGTGACCACATCTACACCTTCACACTTTTTGAGGTAAGGTGCTATGTTGATGATTATATGCATCTCAGATTCTGCATAATAATAAAAACGTTCTGCACACAACAAAATATAACAGGCGTTCAAGCCGTAACATTTCATAACCAGATGTGGCTTTTATTCTTGTTTCATTCAAATTTAGGAAGGTAAAAGTTCAGGAGCTGCTTTTAAATGAATCTTTGTATTTGCAGTTTGCTGCCGACTGAAATAATAATACAACTAACAAAGAGCAGAAACTTCAAAAAAACAAATGTGACTTTTAAACCTCATGCCTGCATTTCTACTCTGCACACAGTCCATTAAACTGTCACCTGTGTGTGAGTCACTGTGTATTACCTGGTGTATCTCTTGCCAACCATTCTCATCCTCGCAGCCGACCTGTGCATGATCATGTAGCAGCAGTTCACAGCAGTAGGGGTCTCCTCCTACCATTGAACTGTGGTAAAGAGGAGTCAGCCCTCTACTATCCTTATAATCAGGTGATGCACCCAAGTCCAGCAGTGTCTACAAGCAAAATGGTAGATTTAAGGTATTTAGTTGCTTCTCTAAAACACACTTATTTTTTAAAATATGAATTATCAATGTCAAAGAGTCCAATAAAACTAGTCGTAACCCCCTAAATATGGGGTTGTAAGCACATAAATGTTGTGTTTATGTACGAAACTTAGAATTTCTAAACTATCAACACAAATGTTTTGTCTATATGTTACATGGCTCAGTGACATTGAACGTTTTAGTAATGGGAATGGAAGAAACAGAGATTTAACCGTTTCAGCACAATGAAGTAACAACTATGTGAGTCATATGAAACCCTTTCACACATGCAAGGCCATTAGATGGATATGCCAGCCCATCTAAAGAGAGCACGCTAAGCCTCGCATATTGAGTAGCTGCCTAAGCACCTTCTGTATTTCACTGCTCAAGCACCTGCACTGCAGTTTACCAATCTCTGCCTTCATGATTATCTTTATTTTTCTAAAGAAAAAGATTTGAGTTGAATGGTCGAATAAAGGAAATAAAACATGAGTCAGATTGCGTATGTTTGGTTTTTTTTTGTACTCACTATAAGTGCTGTGTGGTTCTTGCTGCGCACAGCCTTGTGCAAGGCTGTAATGCCATCTTTTGTTCTGAAGTCCAGATGTGCACCTCCATTTTTTAGCACTTTGATGAGCTCTGCACATCCCTCCAACTGTGCTGCCAGCGTAAGTGGACATTCTGTAAAATTAAAGGCTGACTAAGCAAACTGTAACAAAATCACATGTTCTGAAGTCTTACTGTGCATTCATCTTTGAAAATTAACTTAAAATATTTGCAGTTGTCAGCAACTGATTTCAAACCACTTTCCAGGTAAAAACGTGGGTTTATATTTTCAGTGACTGCGTTTGGATGAAGCCCTGGCTGTGGTGACTGTCACTCTCCATTCCTGCCTAGATGGCCGCTTCCTGTTCGTGTTACACCAACCTATTCTTTTGTTCCTGTCGCTTCTCAGCTCATCTGCTAAACTACAGGTCACCCAGCAGGGGAACCTCCTTTGTGGATGGACAAACATTTATACATAATGAGATTAGCAAGGAGAATAATCCAGCTTTACCCGGCAAGCAGAAGGCTTATTTCAGAAAATCCATATATGGTCATTTGTGAAGAAGAAAGATAGAAAGAGGTGCAAAGTACAATAGGAAAAAAAAAAAAAAAGTTGGAAAAGGACAATATGTTGACTAAAGTAGAGTATTACTGTGATAGTTAATAAAAAAAATATTTGCTCACCTCCAGTGTCTGGATCATGGAAGTTAGGGTCCAGGCCTTTTTCCAGGAACCTTGAAACCTTTTCAATGTTCCTCTGTTGCACATATTCCATGAACTTCTTCAGGTTTGCCTAATGGAGAGAGACAAGGGAACGGGGAGAAGGGGAATAGGGAAAAGTGGGGGAAGAGATAGCTACATTTGGGTGATGTCAGACTCATGTGGATTGAGATGATTAATAATGCAGTTCAGAGTTGAAAGTCATTGCTTTTTGCTTCTATGCTTGAGGTTTTATTTCTGTTCTGCAATGTCAACCAAATGGACCAGAAGATATAAAAGCTATTACAGAAGAGCCAAAAAAAAAAAGAAGGAAAAAAGGCTGGACAGCAAAATAAGGTTTGCACAATTCTGAGATTTATACTATATTTTTTGTTCCAATGAAAATAGTCATAATGTTGTACGATGTCTAAAATTACCTTAAATGTCACTAGGCAGAATAAATCCATAAATGTCATAAAAAATAATTACTTTTATTATAAAAGCACAGGAATTAATCCATTTGCAAATCAAACCCACAGAACATACATACTTCGTGGATGTAATTCTTTTTCTTGTAACCTTTCCTTTGTCATGATTAAAAATGTCCATCAACTGTACAAAAGCTGGTGTAGGCTCATAGATTAAAAATACAAAAAAAACTGTGAATCATGCATGAGAAACAAACACTTCATATTTAATTTACATGGTTTTAAATAAATCAGGGCAACTATATATTTTGGAGTACATAAAAGACAATACATACCATAGTCACAAGAATAACAATTTAAATACAGCACACACAATAAATACTTAAATAAGCTTGTTACAATTTATTATGGCAATGAAAGCGTAAAATGTTATATGTGAGGGATTTAGCTCAATTGTGAACCTTTATCTTGTGGATGTAACTGTACAATGTTTTCAGTATTCCACATACTGTAGAATTTACAACAACTTTCATTGCTTTTATTATTTTTTTATGGTTCCCCAGCCTCAGTTATTACATAAACATTCACATGTGCAGAACCCTCCGGATGCATGCACACACATCACATTTTGCACAACCTAATACAATACAGTGTAACACAACTAAAATGATTTTGCAACCATGCACTTGCAGAAATGAGAACAGAAAGCAGTAGCCTTTTGGACACTCACCATGTGTGGCATCACAAACTACCTGGTCCAGATGCTAAAAAGTCACGCTGCCCAACACCTTCTGAATATCACATGACAAACCCTTTTCTCTTCACATCAAGTCATCTGTAGCCTGCTTGCCTGTACAAGCCTGCTCCTTGTTCACACACACCACGTTGACACACTGTGAGGATCTGCCGAGCGCCACGCTCACCATCTCTGAATCGAACTGAGTGAGAGAAATTCACTTTGGCTTTTCCTTTTTTCTCTCTCTGATGTGCTTTGAGGCAGTTGTTATGGTGATGGGATACAAAGACAGCTCTAGCAGCCAATGTACACATGAGTGGGAAGAGCACTGAGGTTGTGTTTGTGAGTATGTGCCTGTGAATGAGAGCACTTGTTTGTCCTGCGTGATACCTAAGATAATGCCTTAGAGGGTTTTCAGGATAATTTACCAATAATCAGGTGGATCTGATGTGTGTTTTATTGCCTGTTGAAGAGCAGGCTGATAAAAAGCTTCTGCTTTATCTTCTTCAGTGAGGGTTCTAATAAACTGGTAATATTCTCTGCCTGTGGCTATCTTTTACTCTTTGTAACACACACTGACAAATGCACTCGTGAAAAAACACAAAAGCTTTTTTTTCCCAGACGCGTTCAGACAAGCAGGCATTTCACTATAAATCTGAAATTAAAAGGAAGACAGGCTAAAATAATCAGGTCTGAAAGGGAAAGTGCTGTTCATAAATGGTGCAGTTACTAAATATAATGGGCATTATAAGTTATATTTTCTAATAAACTGATGTGGATTAAAAAAATACTAAAATGCTAGTTTAGGTGGGTCTTTTTTTTAGCATCAATCTAAAATATTTTCAAGTTGAAAAAACATTTGGACTTTTAAAAATAAAAAATAAAACAAGAAAATATAAAAAATCTAAGCCCAATTTTAATTAGTCATGGTCCAAATAGGAACAATAATCAGTAAGTTCTATTATGAATGAGTAACATTTATTGCTGTTAACCTTGGTTTATTAACACTGAACAAAAATATAAATGCAATGCTAACCCCCCATCTGCTCACATCTTTGCCCCTTCATGACATGTTCACGTCCCCTGTCTCACTGTCAGTCCCTCCTGCCATTGTTTCTGCCCCTCATGCCGTAGTTTCTCTTCCCCTGCTTTGTGTTGCCTTGTGTTGCCTATCACCCTTCTCCAGCTCAATCCTGCTCCTTCCAAGCCAGGCCACGCCTCCCTTGTTTCTCACAGCAATCAGCCCTGATTCCACTCACCTATTCAGCTCACTATTTAAGTCCCTGTCTCTTACTCACTTGTTGCCAACTTATTACACCTCTCATGGTCCAAGATAGATAAACCTTTCATAGTATCTTGTTTCATGACTTGTATCCTTGCTTTGCCTTGCCTTGCATTGCCTTGACCCCTCACCTGTACCACGGATTCCTCGCCTTGCCTACCCCTCTTCAGATGTGAACTCTTTGCTCTGACCACGGTATTCGACCCTGCTTTTCTCCTTCGTAGACTCGCCTACGGATCACGAATTGGCTCTGGCTTCTGCTCTCAGCTTCCCCATGCATGACCTCTGCTACGACTACTGGACCATGAATCTGGATTGCCCTCCGCCCCCCGGACCACGGACAGCTTCAGCCTGCTCCGCTGCTGCAGCTCACTCTTCAAGAGCAACGTCACTGGCACCAGCGTGACAAAAGCACCTGCCATGTACAGACTGAGAAGAATGGACTCCCGCCTTGGACCCTGACTCCAGCAACCAAATAAATAAAAACTGTTCTTGTTTTTGCACTCCTGTGTCTGGCTTATATTGAATCTGCAACCCACCTGTGACATTTTCGATGTACACTGTAGGCCTTTGTCTCTAAAATATTGTTCACAAATGTGTGTAAATCTGTGTTAATGAGCACTTCTCTTTTGCCAAAATAATCCTTCTATTTCACATGTGTGGCATATCAAGATACTGATAAGAGAGCATGATTAATGCACAGGTGTGCCTAAGGCTGACCACAACAAAAGGTCACTCTAAAATGTGCAGTTTTATCACACAGCACAATGCCACAGATGCTGCACATTTTGAGGTAGCGTGCAGTTGACATGCTGACTGTAGGAATGTCCATGTTCAGAGAATTTTGAAAAACTTCCAACTGGCCTCACAACCACAGATCACACATAACCACAACAGCCTGTGTTCATTGTCCATAACATATGCCTGCCCATACCATAACCCCATTGCCACCATGAACCACTCAATTCACAACATTGACATCAACTAACTGTTCCCCACACGATGCCATACTGTCTGACAACTCCCCTGTACAGTGAAAATTGGGATTCATTTGTGAAGAGAACACCTCTCCACTGTGCCATAGGCCATCGAATGTGAGCATTTGCCCACTCAGGTCTGTTACAACAACACAATGCAGACTAGTGGAGACCCCGATGAGGATGCTGAGCATGCAGATGAGATACCCCAAGACATTTTCTGACAGTTGGTGCAGAAATTCTTTGGTTATGCAAACTGATTGTTGTAACAGCTGTCCAGGTGGCTGGTCTCAGACGATCTTAGAGGCGAATATGCTGGATGAGGAAGTCCTGGGCTGGTGTGGTTATATGATGTATTTGGTTGTAAGGCCAGTTGAAAATACAGGCAAATTTTCTGAATGCTTTATGGAGACTGCTTATGGTAGAGAAATGAACATTAAATTCATGGGCAACAACTCTGGTGGACATTCCTGCAGTCACAATGCCAACTGCATACTCCCTAAAACCTGCAACATATGTGGCATTGTGCTGGGGGCTGTGGTAGCTTGGTAGTTAATGCCATGGTCTTGTAATCCTGAGGTTGTGGGATCGAACCCAGATTGCACCAAGAAGGGCATCCGGCATAAAACTGCCAAACATTTCATGCGAGTTTGCATGCTGTGGTGACCCCTGAAAAGGGTACAGCTGAACAAAACTTATTTGTGACGTTGCGCTGTGTGATAAAACTGCACATTTGTGGCCTTTTGTTGTAGCCGGCCTAAGGCACAGCTGTGCAATAAGCATGTTGTCTAATCAGCATCTTGATATGTCACACCTGTGAGGTGGATGAATAATCTCGGCAAAACAGAAGTACTCACTAATACAGATTTACATGTTTACATGTACAAATTCATGAACAATATTTGAGAGAAAAGGGCCTATTGTGTACATCGAAAAAGTCTTGGATCTTTGAGTTCAGCTCATGAAAAATGGAAGCAAACACAAGTGTTGCATTTATATTTTTTGTTCAGTATATAATATCACGCCTGTTCACACGCACGCACGCACGCACGTACACACACACACAAACACACACACACACACAAAACTTTTTATCAAAGTACTTTAATGTTTAATTCAGTACACTTCATCCCTTTTCAACATCCATCCATCCATTATCTTTACCCGCTTATTCCATTTTGGGTCACGGGGTCACCGGTGCCCATGTCCAGCAATCACTGTGCGAGGGGCGGGGTACACCCTGGACGGGTCGCAAGTCCATCACAGGGACACATAGAGACAAACGAGACAAACAACCATTCACTCTCTCACTCACACCTAGGGACAATTTAGAGTTACCAATCAGTCTAACATGCATGTTTTTGGACCGGAGCACCCGGAGAAAACCCACGCATGCACAGAGAGAAAATGCAACCCTTTTCAACATACTTAACTAAAATCCATATATAATCAAGTTCAGTTGAATCGTATGTATAAATATCAGTATATTTGTAATTATTTTACAAAGTAATCCAATGTGTAAAAAGATTGTCTAAACTACAAAACCCACTTATTGGAATATCAATTGTCAGGTGCTCCATCTGGGTCATTGTCACTTGGGTTCAGTAGATTTTGTTACCCACTGGTAGCTGGTTTGATGATCAGACCTTTGGAGAAACCTTTTGCTTTTCA